TTCCGATAGACACATCACACATTCCCTTTCCCTTTTGATCTTCGTTTCCCTGAGATTTCCCCACACGGGTTTCGCCCCTTTTTCCGCACTCTCTGTCTGGTTCGGCTTTGTCGCAAAGTCTCCGCCTTTACTACCATGGATTCCATCAATGCCCTTCTTCAGCTCAGCTATTTTCAAGCAGTCTGATTCGAGTTTCAGCTTCGATATCTCGCTCTCCAGTCTTTTGATGTTCTCCATGTAGTATTTCATGTCATGTTCTGCTTTCATTTTGATCCGTTCTTCTTCTGTTTTTCCAAGTGCTTCCACTTGCTCTCTTTCTTTCTTTATGCATGCAGCCTGAGCGAGAAGCTTCTCCCTAGCTGCCTTTTCTTGTTTCCATGTAGCCTGCATTGGGTTTTCATCAGTATTTTTCCATTCTGAAAATGAAAATGAAAATGCATCACACCAACTACATCATCTCACAGCATCATTGATCATAAACATCAATTCCCAATCTTTGTGAAGGTCTCTTGATATCGTTATTAGCACATGCACTTAACTATCAGCCAAACTACATTGAATCGGAGAATATGAAAAAAGTAAATATAGATTATTTACCTGGAGAAATAATGTGGAGGAAGCAATGAGTTATCAGATGGTAAATAAATGGAAATGCAAATACCTCTGTCGACATCTTACAGACGCATCTAACCTTAATTTGACACTGACGGCTATTTGCTTTGGCAACCTCCTGCTGCAACTCTGCCACCTTGTCTCTTTGACTCTTGAGCTCCTCCTGCAACAAAACCTTTTGCCCTTCCCATGACTGAGCATTCTTCAACGTTTTTTGTCCTCTCTCCTTTGCCTCCCTAAAGCTCTCTGCAGACTCAGCAGCTCGGATTTTAGCAGCTTCCATCTCTTTCTTCAACAGAGATTGTTCCAATTCGAACCTGCGGACTGTATTGTTAGCTTTCTCAAGCTGGTCGGATGCGTTGTTCAAGGCAAACTCCATCTCACACAGCCTTTTCCTAGTATTTTCCTCCAATAACTGCTTCTCTTTTTTGTATTGTTCGGCCTCTTCTCTCTCTTTCCTTAATGCCTTAATCTCTGGTTGGTCCTTAAGGAGTCTAACAGTAGCTTGCTTCACTTTCTGGTTAGCCCATTCAGTCCAAACCTGCAGTTCATTCTGCAAATCTTTCATTCGCGGAACTAGCTTTAAGATCAATTCATCCTTTTTATCCCGGGGAACATATGCCCCAAGGGATGCATCATATGGAATCCGGGCATAGTAATCTGGTGCTGGCTTTACAGACACAGAAGCATTTTGTTCAGACTCAGAACCAGATTGCTTTTCTGAAGTTGATGGTGGTGGAATTGTGGAATCTGCATCAGTAACAGGTAAGGCAGTTACAGAGCCTTTTGCATCTCCCGCAGGTGGATCTGACTTAGAACTATTATTTAAGGGAGTGTTGTCACTATCAGATAAAGGGACTTTCACCTCAACCTCTGCTGTTATCTTTGGTGAAAAATTTCTTTCCTGTAAAGCTGCCAAATCCGAAGGTGATTTGACTCTTTTCTCCACAAGAAACCCACCAACCGATGCAAACTTTGCCGCCTTATAGTCACTGCCTTTGCTATAAGTCCTAATCTTTTCCACACATGATTTCTGCCGAAGCATGGCTATTTCTTTTTTGGTGCGGCCTTTTCTACCAGGTAACAATTTTTCATCAAAGACCGAAGCCAGAGATGTAGTTTTAATGCCTTCACCAGAAGCACTGCCGCCAGAAAATACCTCTTTTCCTGGTTTTGTCCCTCTAGCATGAGGATTTTTGGAGTTGGGTAAATTAGGAAAATTTCCAAATTTGAGGGGCTCAGTCTGATTGTTTTGAGCATTGGATGGTGAAAGCTTCCGGTTATCTGGGTCACTGGATTTTGGAGGATTAATCTCAGTGCCTAAACCTGAAGAGCCCCCCTCCAATCCATCCCCTTCCACTTCACACGCCTGCAAAACATTCAGGTCACACATCAACAGCCGCCACATTGCTTCTACTGTTGACAAGGATGGCCTAACCTCCCTAACAAGACCAGTCATCTCTACCAAAGTATATGCAACAAGCTGTTGTAAGTCTTCAAACACAGTGTCTCTAGAACCAGCACCTTCCTTTCCGCTTTTCAGAAAACCCACCGTATCATTGACAAGGTTTGACACAAGGTCATTACCTCCACAGTAGAGCCCACTGCTTGAAATAGCTTTCAGGACAACATCCTCCCTGTATCCATCATCCACAATCTGCTTGATTGCACTACAGAAGAGTGTGGTCAAATTTGATAACAGTAGTTCTTCAAGTTGACAGGCAAGCGGATCATCCCATCCTATAGATTGAGATTCCTCGACCTTCGGCTGACCGGAAAGCGTCTCCAGCAAACGGAGGTCAGTCGATGGTGTGTGAGTTAATTTCGGTGATGGTAATTCATATCGAGGGAACTCGGTCAGGGAAGAAGGAAGATTAGCAGCATTTTGTTGAGAAGGATCAGCCAATTTTCTCTTGTTTTTCCTTCCCTTTTCTTGGTGTGAAACTGAAAAGGTTCCTACTTTGCCACCATTAACACCGGAGTCATTCATTTCTTCTCCCTTTTGAACCATAAATCAATAATTCCAAATTCCTCCCTTTTGATCCTTCACAATTGAACCCTGCAGGAGAAAAAGTATGAACGCTAAATAATTAACGAAGACAAGAAATAGCACAAAACTGACAATGGGTAACATTCATGTACCAGTACTCATGTGTCGCATATTCAATAAAAGAAAAATGCAGAAACTTGATGATTACATCTCCCAGTCATAGTTTCCAGAGTTATCATTCAATCGATCAACAGAACGGAAATCCCAGAACACATCAAAAGCAATTTCCCGGGAGACATGAAATTTCCACATACCTAAAATGTGTCTCCTGATGAGTTTCGGAGTTCAATCGTAATGCAATTCAGGAACTACATCGAGTCGAAATAAAACCAACCCCGTGATCACTCAACGAAAACAAACATGGACACAACAGAGGGCGTAAAAAACGGATTCGATACAAAAAAAAAAACAGACCTCAAAAGCAAGACGGTGACGGCGGACGACGGAGGCGGCGCCGGAAACCAATCGCGACAAGAGAAGATCGGAAG